AATTGAATAGACAAAATTATATTATATTCCTTTAATTTTTTATTTATTGTTGGAAAATATAAAAAAGAAATGATAAGACCTCTTAGAATATAGGGAACATTAACAAAAAACTTTCGATACTGTTCATTTTAATGAAAAACCACATTTTTACACTAAAAACTCAATCATGGTACTATTCTGTGACATCCCGTCCCGAAACTATCGAAACACATAGGTGAAATGACCCTTTTACCCCTAGTTTGTCTTGTTATGTTGTTTGGTTGTTTGTGTGGTGTTGGCAAGTGTTGGGCCACACACACACACACACTGTCTCACTCTCCCTCTTCCTCTGTCATTTTCTCTGTCTCTCTCTCCCCCGAGTCCTCATTCCTTCTTCCTCTTCCTTCAAACGTACGGACACACACCAAGAACCATCAAACCGTAGCAGATCGAGGAAACCAAGGGCACAGTTGTGATCGTGAGGTCGAGGGGAGCACGATCATACCATTTTCAGGTAAGAACTTCGACATTTTCACGTCGATTTTACAAGCTCCGATTTGAGTACTATTCATGCAAACTTATTCTAGCATGTTTTTGGACTTTTGAAGCCCATAGGTGTCTTAGTGAGGTCCCAAGGAGCCTCGGAGTGCTTCGTTGGAAGTGTTTTGACGTCGAGATAGCTTGGTTCGAAGATGGCCGGTTTTTGAGTTTGGAGACAAGTATGATTCCGTGACTTTTAGGCTTTAAAAGTGGTCTAACGTTGTTCTACTAGTCCTAAGCTTCATTTTGGCGTTTGAATCATGGAAATTGGTTGAAAAACGAGAGAGAAAACGAAGTTAGAAAATTTCCCAGTTTTCCGGCGCCGGCGACGTCGCTGGAGGCTCGCTGGAGAAGGAGACGGAATATTCCGTCAATTCTGACGGAATATTCCTGACGCCATTAACGGAATCTGTCAAAACTGACGGAATATTCCTAACGGCGTCAGTTGACGCCGTCCGTGTGCACCGCACGTGCCTGCGCGTGGCCGGCGCGTGCGGCGGTGAAATTTTTTTCTAAAAATATGGTTGTGATCCTGAGGTTGTGTAGAGCACGTTGGTATATTCAATTGTCCATTTTGAGCAATGTATGAGAAGTTATTACGAAAGTTAGGTTATGTGCTTTAAAATTAATGTTTTTATAGTTATTTCGCATATAGGTGATTCCTATCCCGAGGACGAGCGTGCGCACTCGAGACAGGGGGGCTACGACCCTTCCACATATCAGTGAGTGGGCTTTTGGTTTTCCGTATATACCTATATACATTTATATTCCCAGAAATTGTTTAAAAAGGGTTATTTGTTTTATGCCATGCACCATATCCTTATTGTTTATGCATTATCATATGCATTAGTAGTGGCATACATATACATATTTATATTTGGTGCTGTGGAGGCGCAGGTAAGTGCCAGGTAAGCGTTATTTAACCTTTGCATTAAATAGTGATTAGAGGTGCTTAGAGAGCTCATAACCTGCACCCCCGGTGTTAGTGCTCCCGCCCAGTGTAGGGCACAGTCTTTCACGTATTGTTCACCTTCCGCACCACACGCTCAGCTTGGATCCAAGTTAGGTGCACAGTCCTGTCGTACAGACCACTTTAAGTGGTTCCGACTCGTAGGTGACCCGCGATTATTCGCACAGTCTTCACGTGATCGTAGCACTAGAGCGTTTATATGTATTACACCCAGGCCTGTCGTACAGACCACTTTAGGTGGTTCCGACTCGTGGGCAGGTTCAGATATAGTGATTGAGATTTGAGCTCTATATTTACATATGCAGCCGTATCGGTCACGTTAGGTGACTCCGGCTGCCAGATTATATGCTATTGATGTGATTTATACCTGAGCACTTGCATTTCTTTATGAGGCTGTGACATGGCATAGTTTTGAGCATGACTTGGCATATCTATGTATACGTACATACATTTATTTTCTGGGAAGTATACAGGTTTTACGGCGAGGGGTTAGAATGTATTTTATTAAATGGTTTTCAAAGAACTTTGTTTTTGCCCACTCACGCTTTTGTTTTGCGCCCTTCCAGGTTCTAGTGGTCTAGCAGTTTCGGTGGTTTTCCCAGAGGGCGTCTCGGCATTTCTGACAGACACTCACCAGTGTAGGGTCACCTTCGGGTGTACTATTGTCGTATCATTTTCTTTGGACTGCTATAGTCTTTATGCTCTGAATTCAGTGTCTCGCTTACGCTAGCACTTATCTTATCACATTATGTATGCTAGTTTTTTTAAATTATTCGTACTTTTATATTACTTCTTTTAGCTTCCGCACTGTGCACATGGCTACGTCACTTCCACGTGACGGCCAGCATGCCCTGATCTCGGTCGGGGTGTGTCAATTCACTTTATCCTTTATTTTATCATTATTGTTAAAACTTAAAATTTTCATGTCTTTTTCATTAGTTTACCTTAGAATATATTACTGCAAAAGGAGATGTGAGACCTAGTACATCTATTCACTTGAAGTAGGCAACATTGTCTACTTTGAGAGAATAGGCAAAATTTATTCAACTACAAAATTTTGCTTGATGTAATTAAGCCATCAATCCTGTTCAGCTTGTACTATTTCGGATGCTCTAAGAATAGTCTGAGAATGAGTATCCCTCAGAACCGTTTGTGATGGCCATCTCTTTCAATCCGATCCATTTCACCTTTCTGGGATTGTCACTCGACCGTATCCTTGAAAGTTGATACTAAGTTCAAGATTTTTCTCCCATTATGTCCCCACTATCTATGCTCTTTACTTTATTTAGTAGTCAATTAAAATTTTTTAAGTAAAGGAATCAATTTTTTCACACTTTCACACTTAATTAGAAAAAATCAAAAATTTTGAAGTTTTTGTATTAGAATAAGTTCAGAACACTTTAAAAAAATTTGGATCGAAAATTTAGAATTTTCGGAATCTCTAGTAAATGCCTTCCAATTTCCGTTTCAATTTTCAAAAAATATTTAGATTCGGAATATTCAAGTTCGAATTCGAAAATTTTACTATGAGAATTGGAAACACCATTCCAACTTGCACCACTATGCCTTACCGTGTTTGTCATTCATTTTGGAAAACGAACAGGAAAAAAGAAAAACCACCGATGTATGCCTATCAATCTATCGGGGCATATATATATGCGGCAATCTATGTGCGTATATACTAGATGTGGAGGTTAGTTTATTTAATATGATGCATCATACATGTATAATCCTTCATTCTGTGTAATTACCCTTCATTAGAAGGGAAGTGATTTTCACACTTTTCATGCACCCATTTTTATTTATGTTATCAGATTAAATAATTCAAATGAAAATAACGAACATAGTTAAACAAGATTGCAATATCATGATAGGTTTTAGGCTTAAGAGTTGACTACCATATCAACATTTTTTAGTATAATGCCCCATTGTAATTACTAATCGCTAATCATGATACATCGTTCTGTAGTAATCATTAATCATGATATAGTGTTTAGTAGGAAAAAAAAAAGTATATCACGATATATTGTCATGCAGATTGTTTTAATTGAATGAGATAGTGTTTAGTGTACATTACTATATGATAAGTCCGTTAAGTGTATAACAGTATCTTCCTTATAAGAAGTTTTAAAGTAGATACTAGCACTGAGTACAATGAATTCGATAATTAGACTTTGGTTTTGCTTATTTTGTTCTATGGTTTAGGGTTCTTTGAGCGGCAACTTGAAGTCCTGTTCCCACTCCCTAAACACTCCAGCCCACTCGAGCACTTGAAGCCAAGACAAGCTCAATGGAGAAGTCATACAATAATAGCCTAGCCGCTTGCCTATGTGACGTCAGCCACAATTTAAATTATTAAAAAAATTAAAGAAATTACAAAAAAAATTATAAAAAACTAATTAAAAATATAAAAACTTATAAATTTTTTCTATAAATACCTAACCATATTCTTTTACTTTACACTAGATTTCAATATTTTCAAATACTTTTAAACAATTTTTATTATTATTTGAAATTAAAAATAAAGTTACCTTTAATTATTTTATAAAATAAAAAATACGAATTGTCTTGGTTATTCAATTTAGGATTGAGATGCACTTGAGCATTTCATTACCCAAGTTATCATTTATTTAAGAGAATTGAGTTGCCTATTACCCATGAAGCCTTCCTAAAGTGCTCTAAAATGAAGCTTCAAGTTTTCTCATATTAGTTATTTTGTTTTTGTTCAATTTCTTTGTATGGCTTAGAGATTCTTCCTAACCTCGATTTTTTGGTCGCGCACTGTTCGTGCATCCCATATCTTTCTTAATGCTTACAACAAAGACTTGAATCTGAGAAAAGTCTTATACTGCTTATCCGATTCAGCTAGAACTTATAGCATTTTCCGTTTTTATATATTAAACTAAATGACATAAGGAAATAAAAAAATAGAGGATACATATTCAATGAACCCAGCATGCGTATCCATTTTCCTTTGTGTGTTAAATTGACTGTGTGATGTCCTTTTCAGGGGAGCAGTCAGCAAGAAGTCACTGCTGATTAGATAGATACATGGGAAGGTGGTGACCGGACCCCCGCTTTTATGCAAAATTTTTGTGGTGATGTCCACAGCATTAAGAGTAAACTAACAGTGAACTCATATTTTATTCCGTTCAGAGTCAAAATAAATTTTTATTCAAAGTTGTCAATAATAAATTAATAAAACGGCACGTTATTGTGTTATGTATACACTGAAAAACCGCCTCTATCCAAAGTGCTTACCACATGAAGGTTCCAAGCCCTTTCTCTATGTTTCCCTATAAATAGCCAAGAACCTAAAGCCAATTAACTCCCAAGAGCCCTCCCACTCAAGCCATATCAACTTTGTTCTCATTAAAATCCTATCATCCATCACCTCACCAATGTTCCCCGATCTTCTTCTCTAGAATTCTTATCTTTCAACCCCTTCTCACTCTCTCTTTCCTCCCTCCGTTTAGACACATAAGATAAAACATATTGATAACAAGTAACAATGGTGTTTGTGACCAAATCAGCCAGTGAACATTTTTCTTATCCTAGAACCAGCACCAAAGTCTCCAAATTATTTTCTGGGATTCCTCTGGTAGACCTCGCAAAACCAGACTCCAAGCAACTCATTGTCAATGCCTGTGAGGAGTATGGTTTCTTCAAGATCATCAACCATGGTGTTCCAATGGACTTCATCACAAGATTGGAATCTGAGGCCATCAAATTCTTCTCCCTCCCACTTTCTGAGAAGGAAAAGTCAGGGCCTCCTAATCCATTAGGATATGGGAACAAGCATATTGGGAAGAATGGTGATGTTGGTTGGGTTGAGTACCTCCTTCTCACAACCAATACAGAATCCATTTCCCAAAGGTTTCTATCAGTTTTTGGAAATAACGCAGAAGAGTTTTGGTATGTTATTCAATCTTCACTTGAATTTAATTCAAAAGTTTTGATCTTTTCTAATAGGGAAATAATTTTTATACACCCCTTTTTCCTCCCGGCACAACCCCATTTTTGTTATGGTACTAAGCAGAAATAAACGATGGTGTGCGGCAACCATTTTTCCTTTTAAATGATAAGCTCTTAATAAAATTTCTTTTATCTTATATTTTCTTTTTTTATTGTTGGAATTGCAGTTCTGCTTTGAATGATTACATATCAGCTGTGAAGAAAATGACCTGTGAGATTCTTGAGCTGATGTCTGATGGATTGAAGATTCAACCAAGGAATGTGTTCAGTAAGCTTTTGATGGATGAACAGAGCGATTCTTGTTTCAGGCTCAATCACTACCCACCATGCCCAGAGCTTCAAGGTTTGAGTAGTGCCAGTGCCAGAAATGTGATTGGATTTGGAGAGCACACAGACCCACAAATCATTTCTGTGCTAAGATCCAACAATACATCTGGCCTCCAAATTTCTTTGAGAGATGGGAGTTGGATTTCAGTCCCACCCGATCAGAACTCCTTCTTTATCAATGTTGGTGACTCTTTACAGGTACTGCTACTGTTATAGTAGATTCATTTGAAAAAATGATTTTCGCACATTCCTTGTCACTTTTAGAATGAGAAAAACGTGTGTGAAAGTCGCTTCCTAATGGGGCTTTCCTAATTCATTTCTTTGATTATTTTTTTATTTTTACTTTTGCTAACAGCTACTGTTTTAATAATAATTACAAAGATCCCAATCAGTTCCTTTAGAGAAAGAGTCCTATTTTTCTGTCAATTCCCTATTACCATGGATAAGATATGAATACCGTGCTTTTTTTATTTATTTATTGGGTTCTTAATGATTGCTATTGCTTTTCTGCCCATCACAACAATATAAACCCTATGAGAAGTAAATAAAAAGTAGAAAAGTCTCCCTGCTTTGTTCTATTTTTTGGGAAGGAGGGAAGTATTATCCTTAACTCATAGGGTTTTTGGTGAATTTGCAGGTTTTGACTAATGGGAGGTTTGAAAGTGTGAGGCACAGGGTTTTGGCAAATGGTTTAAAATCAAGAGTGTCAATGATTTATTTTGGGGGACCACCCTTGAGTGAGAAAATAGCTCCATTGCAATCTGTCATGAATGCAGAAGAGGAAAGCATGTACAAGGAGTTTACATGGTTTGAGTACAAAAAATCTGCCTACAGCTCAAGACTTGCAGATAATAGGCTTGGACACTTTGAGAGAATTGCAGCCGCATAAATCACAGCACAACAGAACAAAGAAAACCCTAGTTCTTGTTAAAAGAATTAGGGTTTTTTCAATTTCAGTACTCAGGATTCAGGATAGGTTTAAGACCATAGTTTTATCAAATTTTCCATAGATGGAATACTCTGTTCTATTTCCCCCCTGTTTTTCCCTTTTCTCCAATTGTATTCCCCTCCCTTTCTACCAAGTACCAATTCATGTAATTGGCTACCTTTCTTGTTAGATATACAACATGTTCATCTTTTATATGTGCTTACTCTTACTTTTTGTAGTTTTTTTTCTTTTGAAAGAACCTCGACGGAACAAAAGAACTTTTATTTATGATTTGAAAAGGACAACATGAGAACGTAAAAAAATTTCCCAAGACTATAATCATTGCCCACGACCTTTATTTTGGTGTAGTTTTTTAAACATGTGGAATATTTTTTTTTTTTTGTGTGTTTACTATCCTATTCTATAGTTTTTGTTAATAAAATTTCAACGGAACGATAGAATTTTACTCATTATTCAAAAAAGGCATTATTTGAAAAAGACAACTCGGGAATATAAAACTTGGTCCCCACCACAATCATCAACCATGAAAGTTATTTTTTATGTTTATTTTTTTCGTAGTTTTTAAATCCATGGAAATAGGTGGATTGCGGATCAGTATGTCCCCACAGGATATTTGTTCATCTTCATCCACAACTGTCTATAATAAAGCTTTTAGTACTCTTTTCAATCTATGTCATACAAAGTTATTGTCTCACTTCGTCCCCTCTCTTTCCTCTCCCTAATAATCAGGTCAATTGCAAAATCATGGCCTTGGGGTGCACACAAAATCATGACTAATTGTTACCGAAAATAAAAATCCATGACTAATTATTCATTAGTCTAATAAATAAGAATTCGATAATTATCATGTGAAGACGAACATATATATACTCTTATACTGTTTACTTGCCAGATATATATCCTAAGAATATGCCATGTCGTTTTTAATTGCATGACATGTTGTTTTCTTTTCTTGCTTGTGAGAAGTTGCAGATGTCATCTCATGCTTATAGACACCTCTTGTATTACCTCTGTGTCTTCATATGACGGGAGGTGTCATAATTTTCGACACCTGCATGTACCTACAATTTGATGACTCAGGTAACCTATGTTTATGACACCTCCAGCTTGTGACTAACCTAGACAACCATTGTTCATTGAACTACACGGACTCTTAGTTGTTAGAGTTTCCTCTGTCATTGATGGTAGCTAGATAGGATTGGTATAACTCATGTCTCCTATAAATGGCTTCTACCCTTCTCAAATTTATTCACATCATTCCTCAATCTTTTCCTTCTTTATCATGTTGCATGCAGCCATGCAATGTGTTAGTTTATATATATGTGTGTCCATATATTTATATATTAGCCTTGACAATTATCCTTGGTAAGACTTTTGTGCCCTATGCATTTTAGACTTTATAGGTTCGCACTATTACAAAAGAGGCTATCACTGCGAACCAAAAACCGACAAGAACTCCAATTTCTGTCGGAAATTTGATAAAAATCCGACATAAAACTATGCAATGTCGGATTGGAATAGCGACACCATTGCTAGCATCACGAAAGGGCTTCGATGTCGGTTTGTGCACTTAATCCGCCGTGACTCAGCGTCAGTTAAAAGCGACACCCACTATGACGTTGGCTAAAAGCAACATGATGTTCTGACATGATGGTGGTCATAACCGACGTCAACTAGTAGCTAACAAATAAAATACTCAATCTATTGTCGGTCCTAACCGACATTACCCAACATCTCGATAAATAAAATAATTATCATGCATTCCTACACAGATGGTACATGAGATGCAAACTTCACAGATTCAATTTATTCAAGAATTCAACTGGGGTCTTTGGGTGTAGAATTTCTTGTTAAATGTATTCTATTTCATATAAATAAGGAAGTACAAATAACACATATATAGGAGCTATTATAGAACCGGTTACAAGATGAAGATAAAAAAACTAATAATTACATATAATACTAATCAGAGCTCCATGCTTGCATATAATACTAGCAGCTGCCATGATGCTTTCCTGTGCTTGCTGTCGTCGAAGACCACATATTCTGTAGCTCCATGTTGCCATATATAATACTAGTAGCTCCATGCTGCCATGCTTGCCATCAAATCAGTGCTCCAATACTTTACTACTTCAACATTAGGGCTTTAATCTCTATAGATTAAACTAAGGTTTTACCTTTCAAAAATTATGGATCTGCGATTTCCAGTGTTCTTGCTCTTGAGATCCAAAATGAACATGCATGAACTTTTATATGGATTTTCGCACTGCTGATCTTATTGAACAAGAACATAAAAGAGGAGCTCAGTGGAGATTATAGCTTTAGTGAGTCATGCATTAGGCTGCTTAGCATTCACATATTAATAGCTACGTGTAAGGTTGTAAATGCATCATGAGTTCCACTAATTCTTCCTACCTTTTCACCACCAAATCATCCAATTAGAATAGATTTTGTTGCTATACCTTTAAAGGACGGATCTATAACGGAGACAACTATGTGGTGGTTTCTCCTTGAGATGCGATTTTGGGCTGTACCAGTGGTTGCATCATCTTTTTTTTTTTTAATTTTTTTTTAATAGATTTCAGGTCCTTGCAAAAGAAACAACACAAGCATGAGGAGTTGAAGATTTTTTTCTTGTATGGTATTTTCAATCCGTGAACCTGAGTGCATGAATCAGCAAGGGAGGGTGAGAAGTTTACCTCTGAGTGCGTCGGCACCAAGATCGGTGATGCTACCCTTCTGGTGATGCAGTAAATCCATGGCTGCGAGGTCTTATGGGTTGATGATGGAAGATGAAGGTTTGGTTTGCAGAAATGTAGGTTAGGGTTTGAGAAAATGTGAAGAGAGGAGCTACGGTTTTAGGGTGTGCTTGGAAGAAGGGAGAGATAAATGAGGGATGTTAGCCTCTGGGCTCGAGGTGAAGCCTCTTGAAAAAGGGGGACTGACATCCTCTTTTTCATTTAAAAATATGGGGGGAAATATCCCGCCCAAAATTTTGTCATGCGAGATAAGTATTTAAAAAAATAGAAACACCAACATGTCGGCTACAACCGACAGGAAGTTTTAAAATATTTAAAAAATATTTATTAGTGTTGGGTAGAAGCGACATGAGTTTCATTTTTACCGACACTAACTTTATGTCGGTTGAAAGCGACACGGTTTTCTTTTTATACGACACCACCATTTAAAAATATTAAAAGCTATGTCGGTTATAAGCGACATAGACAGTTTATGTTGCTTATAGCTAACAATAATTCCGACACCATGTAAGAAGGGTGTCGGAAATGTCTTATTTACCAATATTTTATATAAAACCGACACCAACCACCGACACAATAAATCACTTTTGTAGTAGTGTCGGTACAAGATTAACGATGTGTAGAGTTGAGATTGTGTTGAACGAGAGATTTCAGAATTTTTATATTTTTGTACACCCAGTAACAATATTGAAGTTATTTATCAAAAGTTTGATTTTGTTTTTTATTTATTTTCTTTATTCGCGCACCAAACGCAAGTTAAATCTTTCAGCAGCTCCGGATCCAGGGCGTGACATGCCAACACCTCCATTCCTGATCACAATGATTTTGATGTAGGTTTACATTATCGCCAGTTACAACTCAAGTTTCACGAGGTTGTGCCAAAAGAGTTGTGCTAGCTGTAGTTTGAGTCGCGTTTAAACGCATGAGTAGAAGCATTTTTGAAAATGTATGAAAGAATTCAAATAACTAAAAGTGTTTTTTCTACAACATTTTTTTGGGTACATTGGCCGGCCAAGCCAACAAACAAATAATCTACAGACAAAAAATTTACACTAAATCATATTAGTTTTTTCGTGAAAATTTTGTAAATATTATCATTAAATTATCGCATGAACAACTGCGTGAATGACTATGTGACCACCTTTTTAAGAGTATTTTTGTCAAACCAACCACTCTACTTAACGAGGATATTGGTAGGTTTTTCACGGAAGAATAAAAATGATTTACGGTGAACAAATTCAGGGACCACTTCTATCGTTAATTGTCGGAGATCAAAGTGAGAGAGATTCGTGAATTGTTAAGGTTGTATTTTTTTTTTTCACATAACCAAACGGTATTTTAAACTAATAAAACCTGTACAAGGGGATTTGAACTTGGATTCGTATATGCACACTTTTTTATTTTATTTTTTTATAAATGATATTTCAACTCTAAGGCAGACTAAGGAGAGGGAATTTTTTTCTAAGTTCGACACAGTTGGTCGAAGACCTATCTATTCGGACATTCTATCACTTACAAGGGGTTTGCGCATTGTCCTAACCAATTAATCAAACCTCCATATGAGTTACGGTTGTAATTAAACCTACATGGTCACATTATAATATTTTTGTTTTCATTTTTGGGTAGGCTACAACATTATTTATAAGGTATTAAACCAAGTTTTATTTTGGGTCCGTTAGTGGCAAGTCCAGAAAATGCTCGGATTTGTACATGCACACTTTTTTTAATTTATTTTATTATGAGAATAAGGAGAGGGAATTTTTTATTTTTATTTTTTAAGTTGGACACAGTTGGTCGATAAATATCTATTCGGACGTTCCACCACTTGCAAAGGGCATGCGCATTGTCCTGACTAATTGATCAAACCTCTATATGAGCTACGGTTGTAATTAAATCTAGACGGTCACACTATAATAGTTTTGTTTTCATTTTTGGGCAGGCTACAACATTACAACATTATTTATAAGGTACTAAGCCAAGTTTTATTTGGGTCCGTTAGTGGCAAGTCCAGAAAATGAAAATCTATCAAAATATCCTTGGAGCTAAACTCTCCTAGTTCTATTATTCCTTGGTATTTGCGTGTTGATTGGAGTAATTGCTTGTGGCAGATTAGGCATATGCATGTTTTTGTTTCCCATATTTTTCACGAAGGCAACTGTGTAGCTGATCTCCTAGCTAACT